CCCAGAGATAAACCCACACACCTATGGTCAACTAATCTATGACAAAGGAGGCAAGGATATACAATGGAGAGAAGACAGCCTCTTCAACAAGTGGTGCTGGGAAAACTGGACAGCTACATGTAAAAGAATGAAATTAGAACACTCCTTAACACCATACACAAAAATAAACTCAAAATGGATTAAAGACCTAAATGTAAGACTGGACACTATAAAACTCTTAGAAGGAAACATAGGAAGAACACTCTTTGACATAAATCACAGCAAGATCTTTTTGACATAAATCACAGCAAGATCTTTTTTGACCGACCTCCTAGAGAAATGGAAATAAAAACAAAAATAAACAAATGGGACCTAATGAAACTTAAAAGCTTTTGCACAGCAAAGGAAACTATAAACAAGACAATAAGACAGCCCTCAGAATGAGAGGAAATATTTGCAAACAAATCAACGGACAAAGGATTAATCTCTGAAATATATAAATAGCTCATGAAGCTCAATATTAAAGAAACAAACAACCCAATCAAAAAATGGAACCACCATATGACCCAGTCATCCCACTACTGGGCATATACCCAGAGGAAACCATAATTCAAAAAGACACATGCACCCCAATGTTCATTGCAGCACTATTTACAATAGCCAGGACATGGAAGCAACCTAAATGCCTATTGACAGATGAATGGATAAAGAAGATAAAGAAGATGTGGTACATATATACAATGGAATATTACTCAGCCATAAAAAGGAATGAAATTGGGTCATTTGTAGAGACGTGGATGGACCTAGAGACTGTCATACAGAGTGAAGTAAGTCAGAAAGAGAAAAATATTGTATATTAACATATATGTGGAATCTAGAAAAATGGTACAGATGAACTGGTTTGCAAGGCATAAATAGACACAGATGTAGAGAACAAACATATGGACACCAAGGAGGGAAAGCGGCAGGGGGGAGGGTGATGGTGTGATGAATTGGGAGATTGGGATTGACATGTATACACTAATATGTATAAAATAGATAACTAATAAGAACCTACTTATAAAAAACGAATAAATAAAATTCAAAAAAAAAAGTTAACATCTGCAGGAAAGAAGCACAGTTGCCACAGTTGTGTATGAGTCTAGTTTATGTCTGGTCTGTGAAATTATCGGCTTAAGTAAGACCTACTGCCTTGATTACAGCGGAGGGGGGTATACAAACATATCCATCTAGCCCATGCTCATTGACACGTAGGAAGAGATTTGTGAAATTCTCACGTATCTATGGAAATTCACTCTGCCATCCACTGACACTAATGACTGTAATTAAAGCCAAAGGATTGGATTTGCAATAGATGCAAAAACAGATCTCTGCCCCTTGCTTTCCATTGCCACCTCCTACATACCCTGTTTTCTCATGCTAGACTGTTCCAGGAGCTCAGTCTCTACCCTCAGTCTCCTCCTCCTCCAGGCCACACCACGGACTGTAGCCAGGTTAAGATGCTAACTTACTGCTGTATGAACACACCGTGAGCAGCAACGTGCCTCCTGGGCCTGGGCTGCTGTTTCAGCTCTCTCTCCCACTCCCAAGGGTGCACCTCTCGCTCTCTCATGCCTGGCTGCTTCCTGTGGCTCCCACAGGCCACACGGGGTCTACCCTTGAGCCTTCCCAGAAACCTTACCCCTGGTTCTACTGCCTCCCAGCCTTTTTTTTTCTGGCCGCACTGCAAGGCTCAAGGGATCTTAGTTCCCCGACCAGGGATTGAACCCGGGCCTTCGGCAGTGGGAGCGCGGCGTCCCAACCACTGGACTGCCAGGGAAGTCCTCTCCTGGCCTTTCTATATCCAGCCCTTCTTTAAGGCCTAGTTTAAGACTGGCCTCTGTTGAATCTCTCTCAAACGTGTTAAATACACGTCCAACAAAGACAGCACAACAACTGCAGCAGCCACAAAACAACTCTTGAGAACTGGTTGAGCCCAAAGTATATTCCTTCCATGGTGAGTAGAAATAAGCAAGATGGGACTTGCCTGGTGGTGCAGTGGTTGAGAATACGCCTGCCATTGCAGGCGACACGGGTTCGAGCCCTGGTCCGGGAAGATCCCACATGCCGCGGACCAACTAAGCCTGTGAGCCACAACTACTGAAGCCCGCGTGCCTAGAGCCCGTGCTCCGCAACAAGAGAAGCCATTGCAATGAGAAGCCCGTGCACCGCAACAAAGAGTGGCCCCCACTCGCCGCAACTAGAGCAAGCCCGCGCGCGGCAACGAAAACCCAACGCAGCCAAAAACAAATAAATAAATAAAAAAAAAAGCAAGATGGCACAAGAAGGTATTCAGCTGCATTCTAGGTTCTAAAAGTAGCTGTTACACTTCCTAGCTATTTGCATACAATTCCCTGAACTTCTCTGATCCTGTTTCCTCCCTATAAAGAGAATGTTCTGGCTGCCGCAAGGTGTTGCGAGGACTAAGTGAAGCCCTGTGGGGGAATGTGTGAATATTATCCGAAGGAAAAGTAGGCTTGTCTTTCTACTCTCTGGGTCATGCAGATGGTGACTTTTAAATTTAAAGCTGTACTTGAAATATCACTGACCCAGATGGTCTGTGAAATTATCTGCTTAAGTAAAGCCATCAGGGGAATGTTCCAGCCTAACTGAAGGTTGTCATGAGTGTGTGTGCATTGGTTGTGTGTAGCTGAAGGTTGTCATGAGTGTGTGTGCATGGGTTGTGTGTAACTGTCTCCTCAATCTGTCCAGGTTTCACAGGCTCAACAGGATTATCAGCAGAATTACATCCAAACCCAGTCGTCAGCCCTGGACAGTTTTAATACCATGAACTCGGCTTTGGTGTCGGACTCCATCGGCCTGCAGGTATTCATCTGCTCCCGATTCGCCTGGGTCTCCTCTGTTCCAGTGCAGGAGAGCTTAGCCAAGGGTGGGCCCTGTGTCTTTGTAGAAAAGTAAGTCACAGAATGTCTTCAGCTCATTATTTGGAATCCTTTACACACAGCCACAGTAGAGGCCAGGCCAGGGAGACGGTGAAGGAAGGAAGCCGATGGAAATGCTTCCAAGCTGAGACTCTCAACCTTGGAGTTGCAGTTGTTTTTGCGCTTATTAAAATGGGGGGTTAGATCCTGAGTTCAGTGCTAGAGATGTCACTTGTTCCACTAGACACCCAAGTGGTTGTAAGTGTCAGTGCCTAAAACAGCACATCAGCCCACTCCCTTAAGCCCCAGTGTTATGAGAAGTTCCACCAACCACAGGAAAGCCAGACTTAAGCAAAGGCAATCTGTGTTCATTCATGACAAGTAACTCCCAGAGGCTGTTAGGTACTTTTTTCTAATTTAGAAATTATTATTGTTACTATTGTTTGGCCGCGAGGCATGTGGGATATTAGTTCCCCAGTCAGGGATCGAACCTGCACCCCCTGCATTGGAAGCACGGAGTCTTAACCACTGGACCGCCAGGGAAGTCCCTGGAAATTATTTTGCTTTGAAAGAAATCATGTGCCTTCCAAAGAATATCTTGTACTACCAGGCAGGGAAGCGAAAAGAGTCAGGATCCCACATTTGTGCAAATGTGTGTGGTCACCACACGTCAAGGGGGTTTTTCTCTTGATTAGTTTCATTTGCTAGGAGTTAACCCCTCATATGCTGCCCATCTTTAATCTTCCCACTGACCCCCGCCCCCCACCGCGTAACGTGCAAATGAACTTGAAAATGTTCAGAGTAAAGCATTATATTCACCAGAAGCAGCTCCCCTTAGCTTTAGTTTCCAAACGTGCAAATAATAATTTCTGTCCCCTTCCAACTTTATTTGACTCTTATCTCTTTACCTTCCTCTTGGAAGTTCACACAAGCTATTTCACATCCTTTCTGGTTCTCTATAAATAATTCGCTAGATAAGCAAACAAATTTTCACGTTGGGATTATCCACTTCCCTTAGGATCTAGTATTCTCTACTAACAGCTGTTCGGGCAGTGGTGCCAACAGCAAAGCTAGGCCACGGTCACGCAGTGGGCCTGGGTGGGCCCCGTGTTTGGATTTGTCTGGGAGGCCCATTTCTGGTGGGGCCTCTGAGTCCCACCCTTTTCCTGGCTCTCCCATAGTGCCTGGCAGCTTTCCCCTGGCCTCAGGCCAAGCCCTACTTTGGGTCTGGCTTATTCAGCAGCCTTTATTTTCCCTTCCTCCTGCTATCAAGGGGGCTCACCCAGGCTCCCTTTCCTTCCCTCTCAGACATCTCACTACCTTCCAACCAGGAAATGCTGTATCTCACCTGAGTTCAGATCTGGTTGGTATCTGGGTTTTCTTCCCCATCATACTTCTGATTTGCCACCCCACTGTTGATTTTTTAAAAAAAACCCCATACACCCTAAAAGTTCAGAGTTCTGTTTTATTCGGGGACCTTACTGAGCCCTATAGCCTGGGAATCAGTCTCTCAGACAGCTCTGAGGAACTGCTCCAAAGGGGTGAGGGAGGAACCAGGGTAGATAGGAGTTTCGCTTAAAAGAAATGTAGCCAAAGATCAGAAGATTACTGTTAATCACAAAAAAAGCCAGACATCTTCAGTTAACGTTTTTAGTGCTTTTCCGTGTATAAGAAGATGTAAGAGTCGGGCTCATTGAAATTATTTCTTTGGTTTGCATCGTAACTATCTAGGGCTAGTATCCTGCCTTTTTCCATCTTGAATCCCCCTCAGGGCACGCTGTTGGGGGGGGGCTGTGGTGGCTGATGACTTGATGGTGGGCAACAGTCATTGTTTCCTGGAATGGGAGGCAACATTTTTGTCCACACCACTGACACGCCAGGCATTTACTTCAGAGGTCAACTGTTGTTAGAACAGGGTCCCCCCCTAACCCAGGGACCCTGACTGATTCCTAGCTACAGTCTAGTCTCTTATTCCAGGGTAGACAGAGGAGCCTTATAATGAAAAGATGAAAAACTGTTGTTTAAAAAAAACCAAAAGAAGAAGGGGGTGGAGGCTGGGGAAGAGGGCGGGGCAGAGGAAGGAAACACGTCATCCCGTGGCCAGGAGACTCAACGGAGTCTGAAAATAGTTGCCTTCTTACTTCTTCCATTGTCTAGTCTACTCCATTTTCATTATTACTGACGAGACCAGATCCTTGGTTTGATTTTATAGAATGTCAAAGCGGGAAGGCACTACTGAGATGGTCTCCAATCCCCTTGTTTCATGGATAAACAAACGGAGGCCAACAGAAATGACTTGAACAAAGTGTATAGCTAATCCAGGGCTACAGCCCTGGTCTCTTGGTCCAGATATAGGTTCTGAGCACAAGACCGGTCTCTGTAAAGCCAGTGGGACTTGGAGAGAGGGTTGTTGGCCAGATGGTTTCTAAGGCTCCTTGCATCTCCAGTGCTCTGTGATTCCAACTTTCAAATGGCTTCTGTATTTTCTTTAATATCTATTTACCACCATTGAAAATCCTTTCTACTGATTTGAATAGGTTTAGGCATGAGGCTTATTCTCCAAAGTGGAGGCTAAGGGGTGGAGGAGCTTCAGAGACTGGCATCTACAAAGAGGACACAGGTATTAGGACGTGTGTTCAACACCAGAGTTTCCAGATCTTCTAATATAAAGTTGTAGGTGGCTTCAGGAGGTGGTAGAAGGTGCCCATAAGCCTGTGTCCGTTGGTAGAAATTCTGGGGTTGTGGAAGCCATTTCTCTGTCAGGAGAGTTAAGCAAGTGACCTGAAGCATGAAATAGCAACGATATTAATTTAAGCATTCCTGCTCCAGTGGGCAGCCTGGAGCAATAAGCAACAGGCTTCTGACCCTTGGCAGGCACTTGTGGGAGTCACAGACTCGGCTCCCTGCCCACCCCTCCCTTCATCACCACCCTTCTCTGCCTGAGCGAGGGAGGTGAAGCATTTGCAGGCATTACAGGATCCTCAGCCCTGTTGTCACTGTCCTGGCAGCTCGTCTAGAAGTACAGAAGTAAACAACCTGTTTAAGAAAAAAGGGGAATATCTCCATTTTATAAAACACGTATTTTGTTTTCTGATTTCAGTTTGGGAATATGGAAAATATAGAAGATACGAAGAAGAAAATTAATACCACCTATAATCCTATCCCATAGTGAAAATCATTATTTGGATTTTGGTGACTCCTTCTAGTTTTGTTTTGTTTTTTTTTCTAGGCATGAATACATTTGGACAGATGCTCATGCATTATTTTTTTCAGAATGGGATTCTTCTGTACTTACTGTTTTCAAACCCAATTTTTTTCCACGTGTAATGACGTATTATGAACATTTTTCCTTGGAAAAGTGTTTTAATCCATTTCCATCCATCCTAAGCAGTGGCAAGCGGCGTTAGCAGCAGCCGTGGCATGTTACAGGGGAAAGCTGGCTGGCCCACCCAGGTACAGGGCGGCAGCCCTCCTGACCACCAGGGGGCCCTCAGGTGCTCTAACACCAGGGTCCCAGGCTTGCAGCTCCTGTGGGCCGATGTCTCCCTCAGCCGTTAATGACAAAGGGATGTCCCGGTGTATGACTCTGGCCATGTTTCCTCACACCGCTAGATCTGGTTTTTATTTTCATCCTGACAGAAAACCCTTGTGGATGTTACTTTGGAGAATAGCAACATTAAGGCTCAAATCAGAAATCTGCAGCAGACATATGAAGCCTCCATGGACAAGCTGCGGGAAAAGCAGAGGCAGTTAGAGGTAGCACAGGTTGAAAACCAGCTGTTGAAAATGAAGGTAAAGTACAGGAATGTAGATTTCCTGCTAACCTTTCTCTCTTCTCTCCTTCTTTTCTCTCTTCTCCCATCGCCAACTCTCCCATTTCCCTTTCTCTCTTCTCTTCTCTGTTGGGCTTCCCCACCCTTTTTGTGGCCAACCCCACAGGATTTGACTTGAAGGGACTGAGGGGGTTTCTGTGTTCACAGCTGCCAATGCAGATTGGGGGTACCCTGTATATACCCCTATTGGGCTCTCCTGCCGTGGTCCCAGTGGCCTCAAGGGCTACTGAGGCCTCATCATGGCACTGCTCTTATGTACTGAGAGGACACTTGGGCTGCCCACAGGTCTGGGACTTCAGAAGCTTCACTGTTTAGATTCTCTCTGAGGTTCCAAGGCCTCATTGTCTGGTTTGACAATGAAGAGCTGAAGGGCCCCCAGGAAGAAAATGGGTGGGTGACCAAAGACTCTGGGCAGTGTCCCTCCTGTCCCCAGGTCGTTCTTATTCCTCAGCTCAGCTTCTAAGGCCCTGGAGATGTTAGTGCTCCTTCCAGCTTTGAAACTTCCAGGAACCGACCCACGAATGGCTCACAGAAGTCACTCAACAAATTATTTCCTGAATGAATTTGTTTTTATTTAAGCCTGTGCTTTTCCGATTGTGTTCAACACAGCCTTAGGCTATTCTAGGGGAGAGTGTGTTATGGGTAGTGTCCCATGTGATTTATTGCTCAAACCAGAGTATGTTCAGGAGTGAGAGGAGGTGCTATTAAGAATTTAGTTAGGGGAACAAACTGGGCCACGTGGTCCCCTACCTGTGGGCTGCCTCAGGGACAGCTGATGGGGAGTACAGGCCACCACACTGTGTAGCCTCTGTGATGGCTGCCCCACAGGCTGTGCCGTCACCACCCACTTGGCCAAACACCACCACCTGGGAAGGGGGAGGGACCAGAGAGCTACACAGTCGATCAGCTCCTCTTTGCTTTCACTTCAAACAGGGAGGCTCTTCTACTTTTTCATATATTGTATTTCTGCGTAAGAGGTACTTTGGAAAAAAAGGTGTTTGTTGCTGAAAAATTCTGAAATGACTGGAGTCTTTTCCTCAATGTAGGATCTCTATGCAGTCATTCATTCCACAAATATGTACTGAGTATCTATCTACTCTCTGCACCTGTGCTCTTCATCCATGTCTGTTCCAGAGGTGCTGTGGTGTCAGGGAGACCAAACCTCTAAATCCAGTCCGCAATTGCCTGTTGTAGAGACTAATGCTTTACTTCACCCAAACCCACACCCCCCAAATTACAAAAGTGACAGGACTCAGAGTATTTCATGTGACCTGGATGCAGCGTAAAGAGGACGTGAGGGACAGAGCCCATTCTAGAAGTGGAGATGGGGTGCAGGACACACGGGTCTCTTTCAGCTAATGATAACCTCTCTTCAGGATTTCCCATTTTGTGGTTTCTTGGTACCAAAACTTGCCTAGAGATGAGAGGGGAGATTGAGAGGGCATCAAGAGAGACTTTTGTCCAGTCTTTGGAGTAAACATCATGTAGCCTAGCCGGGTTGTAGTACACCTTACTTACCCAGAGGTTACCTACCGAGCTAACTCAGCTCTCTTAAGCAAGCAGTAAGCTGGAAGGAAGGGACGCAAACAAACCTTCAGAGGCATAAAATCAACGGCCTGAAGTTCACAGGTGAGGGCAGGGCCAGGGAAGAAAGGAAACACCAGCCACTCCCAACATAAGCCTGCTTGCCCACGGCTCTACTTTTTCTCATCTCCTGTGCAAGCCCCCAGGAGCCCCCAGCTAAGGTCCCCCAAACCGGATGGGAATGTTTCCAAACACAACATTTGGAAAAGCACAAAGGTATGGAAAGGATGAGTCCAGATTTCTTATATGAGCTTAAGTGTTTCCTAGAGACTGATTGGCCTGTGCAACTAATGGGATGGCTTCAACTCCATGTGGGCAGCTTCTCTTCAAAGGCCTTCCTGCTTTTCTGACTTAAAAATTTTTTTAAAGTAATGTATGCCCCTGGGGAGAAAAGTCAAACAACATGAAAGGTAACATAGAGTGCATAGCCTGCACCATTCTACATTCCTACCAGCCATGTCAGAGGATTCCAGTTTCTCCCCATCCTTGCCAACACTGGTTACTCTCTTTTATTGGTTGTAACCATCCTCGTAGGTGTGAAGCTCATTGTAGTTTTGCATTTCCCTGATAACTAATGATGTTAAGCATCATGTCTTGTGCTTATTGGCCATTTGGGTATCTTCTCTGGAGTGTCTGTCAGATCCTTTGCCCATTTTAAAATTGGGTTATTTATATTTTATTATTGAGTTGTAAACATTCTCCGTATATTCCAGATACAAGTTATTGGATCAATAACTTACAAATATTTCCCCCCACTCTAGGTGTTATCTTTTCAATTTCTTGATGCTATCTTCTGAAGCACAGGAGTTTTTAATATTGAATATTGATGAAGTCTTATTTATCTCTTTTTCATCAGTTATGCTTTTGGTGTCACATCTAATTTTAATCAGAGGTCACAAAGATTTGCCTTATGGTTCTCTTCTAAGAGTTTTATAGTTTTGGCTTTCACATTTAAGCCTTTAATCCATTTCGAGTTAATTTTTGTACATGGTGTATTAGGGATCCAACTTCATTTTTTTGTATGTGACAAATCCGATCATCCCAGCACCATTTGTTGAAAGGTCTGTTCTTGTCCCAGTGAATGATCTTGGTAGATAATTGTTTAAATTTTAATATTTATAACAGATAAATTATTTACTCGGTTTCAAAGTTAAATCTACAAAACAAAGAAATAGAACATCAGTATCTGTAATCTCCTCTTTTCTCTTTAACTCCCTCCTTCCTCCTATAGCAAACCTTTTTACTTTTTAATTTTGTAGGACTCTGACCCAACTCTAATAACGTAGTGGTCTTAATTTCAGCCTACAGTAGAATAGTGAAGAATTTAAAAAGCATATCTTTCTGAGGCCAATCAGAGTGTGGATATATTAACTAGAGAAAAAGGTTTGTTAAAACTGATAGAATAAAAGATGATAGGGCTTCCCTGGTGGTGCAGTGGTTGAGATTCCGCCTGCCGATGCAGGGGACACGGGTTCGTGCCCCGGTCTGGGAAGATCCCACGTGCCGCGGAGCGGCTGGGCCCGTGAGCCATGGCCGCTGAGCCTGCGCGTCCGGAGCCTGTGCTCCACAACGGGAGAGGCCACAACAGTGAGAGGCCCGCGTACCGCAAAAAAAAAAAAAGATGATAAAATTTCGGGAGCAAAAGAACATTAGACAGGAAGAGTCATTGAAGAAAGAGGTAAATAAGACAGTGGAGCATGATACATTTTAGAGAATTCAGTTTAAAAATGGCTAAATTTGGGGGGCAAGGTTGACACTTAGAGAGGTACGTTTCTGCCTTTTGAAAAATTCACTCCTGTGGAGCACCTTTTCCAGATAATATCAAGTAAATTAGTGTAAGGGGCCACTTTAATTTTCTCTGCACCTGCTCACCCCTTTTCCTTCTTCCTTCTACCTCTTCCCCCGTTAGTTCCTGCTGCCTCTGTCTCCTGCAGAGCCCTGGGGCATGGGTCCACTCCCCCGTGAGTCCACACTTGATACCTACAGAGTGAAAGGTGTGGATTCCCCCTGAGCCCACCAGAGTTGTAGCTCTGAACTGAGTCTCTCTGCAGGTGGAATCCTCCCAAGAAGCCAACGCAGAGGTGATGAGAGAGATGACCAGGAAGCTGTACAGCCAGTATGAAGAAAGGCTGCACGAAGAGCAGCAGAGGCACAGTGCCGAGAGAGAGGCGCTCCTGGTGTGTTATGTCCTACCTGCTGATGGGATAGCAGAGAGTTTGGGGTGCATTATTGTTGGTGAGCTTTACATGGTAGGGTTTGTGCTCAGAGGTGAGTTAGTGGACTCTAACGTGGGTGACGGGTCAAGGAATTTATTATTTGCCGGTTCACTGCTCTCCCTTCTCCCTCCCTTCCTTTACTCACCACCTTCCCTGCTTGGAATAGTCCTCAATCACCACTTTCTCTAGCTGGTCTGACCGTTTGCCAGCATCCGAGCAGATCCTGGGCTTACCTGCAGCCACGCCCTTTCTCACTCCATTTGCTCTTCCTTGCCCGTCCTCGATCCTACCTATGCTCCCTGAAAGCCCCGAAGATGCCAGCATCTCCACGAATGAAGTCTTTCCCAGTCACACACCTGCAAGTGTCCTCTGTCCTTGGGAAACCCACAGTTTCTCTGCTCTTTGCCATGGAATTCTCTTGTCCCTGTTATTGGAGCTGAGCTGTATGTCTCACATCTTGGCTTCTCTAAAAGAGCATAAATTCCTTGAAGGCAGGGACTCCATTCTGCCTTACCTTGTGTCCTCACAGGCTTAATACATGTGCTGGCTGATTGACTGAGTTGGTGGTTTGCAATATGGGAGAAAGATCTGAGCATTCTGCATTCAATTCCAGATCCAGCCCTAATTCCGTTTAGGTTGTGTGACACTCTGAGCACCTAGTCAGGGGATAAATAACATTTGTAGGCTCTTTTTAGACATAAAGAGTCAAGGGGAAAAAAAGGAGAAAAAATAAGTAGGCCCATTAAAAAGCCATGCAATGTGTCTTTATTCATGGGTGAGAACCAGAATCATGGAATTTGAGTTCATGATCTGTGAGACACTTCTAGGCCCCCAGGTCATGCTTTTAAAGAGACATGATGATTTAGCCAGGCCTGAGCTGTTTGGACCCTGATGGAGGCTACTCTGCGCTCTGCTGAGGGGAGTGCGTTTCTTTTGCAGGAAGAAACCAATAGTTTCCTGAAAGCCATTGAAGAAGCCAATAAAAAGATTCAAGTGGCAGAGATCAGCCTAGAGGAGAAGGACCAGAGGATCGGGGAGCTGGACAGGCTGATTGAGCGCATGGAGAAGGTAACACAGCTTGGGGCCCGGGGCCCCCTCGCCCAGCCTCCCTTGCGGTGCAGCAGTTCCCCTGCAGCCCTGCCCCAAAGTATGAGACGCCCTCACCACTTGATCCCTCTCATCCCTGCAATTTGTGACTTGAAAAAACCAAAGAGAAAACTGTAAAAGAAAGTATAAGGAAGTCCCACAAAGTTCTAATTTTTCCCATGGTGAAAATTTTGATGCTTCAAAAAACATTACGTACAAAATTATTTTACAGAAACTAATATTTTAGCAGCCCTGCTTTGCTGGGGCCCCAAGCATGAACTTAGATTACTTGTTGAGCAGGCAAGCCCTATTTCGACGTTACAGCGACAGCCCAAGCCCTGCCTGGGTCTGAAGGGTTCGCTTTTCTCTGACACTCTGTGTCGGAGCGGGGGACACTGCCTTTCTCTGTGGGTTTGAAGGGGAGGGCTGCAGAAGGCAGGAGCTCTGCCCGGATAATGAGCCAGTCTAGAGAAAGGGAAGAGGGAGCCTGGGAATTAGGCAGGAAGTGGAGAAACGGGAAGGAGGAGTGGGAGAGAGGAAAGAGAAAAAAGAGAGAGAAAGGGCGGGTGACCTTTAGCAGGTGACGGCGCGCTGCTGGGGGAGGGGGGTAGTTGAAGGCTAGGGCTGTGGCTGCTTCCTGGAAAGTGGCTCTCTCGTGGCATGGGTTTGCAGGACAGCCCTGACCAGCCAAGACCTCACCCGTCAGCATCCTGTAACTCACTGACGCTGGGTGCTGAGAATCCCCAGGCTGACGATGGCAGGAGGGGGAGTGACAGTGTGAGCAGGGTCCACAACTGGGCTCCCGGGTGATTCTGAGAAGAGGGCCGACCCGTGGTGTCTGCGGCACGATTCCCTCCACCGTCCCCTGTCAAGGGAGGCGTAACCAGCTTGGGAACAGCCTGAAATGCAATACTGTGGAGCTTCGGGGCTGGTGGGGGGCTCCTGTTTTGGGTAACATCTTTTTTGGGGAGGGACTTGGGCAAATAGAGAGTCAATTACAATTTCGCCTCCACCCTCTGGGAAAGCAGAATCCCATGTGGTATTGAAGAGCGGGTAAGTGGCATAGTTAGGGCTAACGTCAGCATTGGCTGGAGGTGGCAGTCATAATGATTGGGCAATGAGGGCATTTTCTAGAACGTGGGTGAGCTATCTCCCACATCCCCACTCTCCTACAACAGCAGACGGTGCTGGTTAAAGCACACACTCCCCATGGGTGACAGATTGTCCTGCAGCAAGCAGAAGCCAGGTGAGCAGGCAGCACGGGGAGATGTACAGACAGACTGTCCGTGTGCTGGTTAAGAATATGGGTTTTAGGATCAGGCAGACCTAGGGTTTGAGTCTTGCCTCTCCTTCTCATTGTGGGCAGTTACTCGACTTTTCCAAATTCAGTTTCCTCTTCTGTAAAATGCTGACAATAGTAATTCTTATTCTTAGGCCTTCTGTGAGGAGTACACGAGAAAAATCTGTACCAAGTGCTCAGCGCGGTGCCTGGCATATATAAAGTCGGGGCTCACAAATGTGTGGCTCTGATTTTTATGTTGTTACTTGCATAAATGTCTGCCCCTGGTGTCAGCTTCTTTTTCAGCTGGACCTGTTCTATAGCTGAGTGTCTTTATACCCTTGCGATTCTGAAAGTTCCTAGCTTTTTCCCACTGATGCGCACGTGCAGCCCACTGATGCGCACGTGCAGCCTGGGTGAGGGCCGTATGGCTGGGGGCCAGGCTGGTGTTGGTAAGGCCGGCCGTCCCTGCCAGCGTTTGTGTGACACAAAATGTTCCCCACATCCTCTTGGCTTTTTCTTTAGCGATTGAAAATCTATTGTCTTTCCTCTTAATCTTTCCCATTTAAGCTAGCGAAATGCTTGCTTTATTTAGCTAAGATTAGACTACCCATTTACTGGTTTCCCCCTTCAGGGATAAATCTGGGGCGGCAGGAACTGTGCCAGATCTCTGTCACACAGGATATGGACAGCATGCCCACAGAGTTTGTATTCCTGTTCTCACCTGTTTTTGGATTTTTCTCGAGGACACACCATGTCCTTTTGAGTGGCTTCTGTGCTGTATCCCTTAGTTTACTGTTCTCAGTATTGCGTCCCAGACGCCTTTTTTTCCTGTCGGTAGAAGCCTTGTAAGGAGCGTGTTCTATCAGAGACCCTTCCGCAGAATAGATAATATTCTGTGCCTTGATCTCAGTGGTGGTTTCACCAGGTAATGTGTATACAAATGTATTGATTGTGCAATACTCAAGATTTGTTGTACCTCCATTTAGAAAAAAATCGAATTTTAAAGTATGCTGTAAGTTAGGCCTTGCCCTACTTTAAGACAGCTTTCTGGGGAGTCTGAGGGAAAGCTCGCTTGTTACAGAGTCATCATTATTTCGGGGCTGATGTAAACTTCCAGCCAGTGGCAGAACCCGTGGGGACAGTAAGAATGTGCATTTGCTGTAGAGATTTAAAAGCAGTAATAAAACCCCACTGAAAAGTCGGTCTTCCTTCATTATTCTAAGGACATCGATGATAACACACCCTTCCTCCCGTGGTGTACTGCCCCCCAGCTCTGGTCCCCCCTTGGTCTGCCACTGCTTACAGCTTCAGAAGTTGAGGGGGCTACAGTTTCAAGGCTCTGCTTTGAATATGTGGTGGAAAAGACGTTTGGAGTGTGTATAAGTAGCCAGAGCTTGTTGGGGAGAACTTCTGAGGTTAAAGATGAGGCACGGCCATACTTAGAGAAGGACCTAAAGTAGAAGAGTCTCCTCCCAATTAATGAGCAGAATTTGATAAACTTCACTGTAAGGAAATTTATTATACTCTCATCTGTAACATTTCTAGGGCAATTTTGGTTGTGGTGGGCACTACATTTTTATTAATATTTTCCACTTTGTTCAAAGAAATGTGTCCAGATTTTATATTACTTTTTTAAAAAAATATTTGTTTGTTTGTTTGGCTGCGTTGGGTCTTAGTTGCGGCACGCGGGATATTCATTGCAGCGTGCGGGATCTTTTGTTGCGGGGCGCCGGCTTCTCTCTAGTTGTGGCACATGGGCAGTAGAGCACGCGGGCTTAGTTGCCCCGCAGCATGTGGGATTTTAGGTCTCCGACCAGGGATCGAACCTGCATCCCATGCATTGGAAGGCGGATTCTTAACCTCTGGACCACCAGGGAAGTCCCTTATATTACTTATTTTAGGTAAACTTCTAAATTTATATATACACACACACACACACACACACACAACACAGCAAAGTGTACAAATCTTAAGTGCACAGCTTGATACATGAATTGGTTTCCTATTGAAACTGTAACAGTTTACCACAGTTAGAGGCCTAAAGCATCATGGATTTATCATTTTTAGTTCTGGAGGTCAGAAGTCCTAAAATCAAGGTGTTGGCAGGGCTGGCTTCCTTTTGGGAGCTCTAGAGTAGGATCCGTTTCTTAGCCTTTGTTCCCTTCTAGAGACTGACTATATTCCTTGGCTCATGGCCCCATCCTCCAGCTTCAAAGCCAGCAAGCATTGTAGCATCTCCTAGTCTTTGTCTGTTTCTGACTCTAACCCTACTTCTTCCTTCTAATACGAGCCCAACTAGATAATCCAGGATAACCTCCCCATTTTCAAGACCATTAACTTAATCACGGCTGCAAAGTTCCTTTATCCATGTAAGGCAACATATTCACAAATTTCAGAGATTAGGATGTGGACACCGTTGGGGCACTGTTACTCTGATTTTCACAATGTAGTTTTACAAGTGAACACACCCGTGTACACACCATCCCAGTTAACTTATAGGATATTACAGGATTCCAGACCCTCTTGATGATTCAGAAAATAATCCCAAGAAATTTGTAGTATCACAGGCCACTGATTTAGAGTATTGATTAACATTATTTAGAACCATAAATTTTCACAAGACATCTGAGCCTGGGCTGACGAAATGCTTTAAAAAATAAATAAATAAATAAATCTTGGGGCTTCCCTGGTGGCGCAGTGGTTGAGAGTCTGCCTGCCGATGCAGGGGACATGGGTTTGTGCCCCAGCCCGGGAAGATCCCACATGCCATGGAGTGGCTAGGCCTGTGAGCCACGGCCGCTGGGCCTGCGCGTCCCGAGCCTGTGCTCCGCAACGGGAGAGGCCACAACAGTGAGAGGCCCGCGTACCGCAAAAAAAAAAAATCTCGACTGGCTTTATCCAGGATATTCATCTGTAAATACACACCAGTAAATTTGACATTTTGAGCTTTGTTTGGACCCTGGCAAGTGGGTGTATAAAACCCATGGGTGTCACATAGACTTGAATTCACTAGTGCTGCAGTTGCTTGCTGTACATTCTCCAGCCAACTTGGGATCCATAGATTAAATATTAGTGTCTGTCTGTTTTAGGAACGCCATCAACTTCAACTCCAGCTCCTGGAGCATGAAACAGAAATGTCAACGGAAATTACCAATTCTGACAAAGAAAGGTAAGATGTAATGCTTTTTATTTTTTTAATTTTTTTAAATTTTTATTTTTTGCGGTATGCGGGCCTCTCACTGCTGCGGCCCCTCCCGCTGCGGAGCACAGGCTTCGGACGCGCAGGCCCAGCGGCCACGGCCCACGGGCCCAGCCGCTCCGCGGCACGCGGGATCCTCCCGGACCAGGGCACGAACCCGCGTCCCCCGCATCGGCAGGCAGACCCCCAACCGCTGCACCACCAGGGAAGCCCTGCCCTTTATCTTGTAATGGATTTAGATGGTGGACATGCTGTGTTTTTGTGGGCTCACTTGGTCCTTGCATTGTCATTCGTTTGGTCATCACCCATTGCAGACTGATACATGCCAAACATTGGACTGGGAGCTTCCAACGTGGAGCTTCCAGCCACATCTTACAACCCAGGGCTGGTTGTTAGTGCAGTGGAACACGTCAAAGCCTGTCACAAGTACCAGAGTTCAGTCTATAAATGTTCTCCATAACCTTGAGCTCCACAGGATGCACCTTGTTGATGAGAAAACTCGAGAGTGACTAATACCATTGCCATGGAAACTTAATTTTACAATGTCTTTGTTTCCAAACATTCCTCAATGAAACCTTGCCTTGTCCTCTGGCTATGAGTGTATAAAGCCCTGCATGGGAAATGCAGGAGCAGTCCACGGCCTCTTCTGGAAACCAGAAGGCAGCGAGGCCACGCACGGCCCTCTAGTGAAGGAAAACAAGGTTGGGATGCTTTGAGCATTTGAGCAAGTTACTTAACAACCCTGAGATTGTTTGCTTCTCTGTAAAACGGGAATTCTTTTTTCAAGTGGGGAGAGTTGTAATGATGTGAAGAGTGCCCATCTCATTGGGGTATTATTGTGAGGGAACTGCTGGGTGTACTGCCTGCCACATAGTATGTGCTGAAAAGATACCTGTTCTCTTCCTCTTGTGCAACTTCAGAGTTTGCAGAGTTATAGGGATCTTCCCTAGTCTTTAACATAGTGCTGAGGAGGGACCTGGCAGAGATGGGAAGTGGTAAGCAGACCACCAGACCCTTCGTCCATGTTCCAGTCCAGGGGCCCCAAAGGACTGTAGAGTCCATCTGCTGGTTCATTTGGTTTATTTGAACCAAGTAAAGTCTGAGGATAATTTGTGCTTTTTTTTTTTTTAAAGTATGAAATGTTTTATGAGGTGGTCTGCCCTGTTTTGATGGAGAGAGGGTCTTGCAGCGTCTTTCCCATTTTCTCAAAATAAATGATGTATGGAACAACTGTAATTCCTGACTTTCCAGGACTCTGCCACTTGATTTCAGATATTTTGTTGTGTTGCTAGATTCTTCTCCTTCTCTGTTTTCCTGATCGTGGTAATTACTGGATGTTCCAATGCTGTATTAACCCAAAAAGAAAAAGCCTCTCATATCTGTAAGTGGTGCAAAAAAATTCTCTCTCAGCCCCTGGAAAGTGTAGTAACTGTCCTTATACAGGATAAAACTTGCAAGTGGGAACTTGACAAATGGTCCTATCTTCCTTCTACGGTGGGGTGGTCGATTGGTAGTTAATAAACTAGGATACACACAAAGTAGGAAGAGTGCGTCTTGTTCTGGGCAATATTCCCTTCAAGCGGTGACTCTGGGTGCTGCCCTTGTTGCTTTGCTTGAGGATTCACTTGCTCTTTCTTCTATTTGTATTAGGTATCAGCGGCTGGAGGAGGCATCGGCCAGCCTCCGGGAGCGGATCCGACACCTAGATGACATGGTGCATTGCCAGCAGAAGAAAGTCAAGCAGATGGTTGAGGAGGTAAGCCCCTGTCAAAGGGCTTGGGCCCGGGATTGCTTCCTGTGGTGGGAACACTTCAGCCCTAGAGCCAGATACGACTCTCAGCTCCATCTTCTGTGGCTCACAGTGAACTAGCTCAGGCCACTGCCATCTTGGCCCAGTGGAGAAGGTCCTCATATGTCCCCTGTGGACTGGTGATGATCCCTCTAAAAGAGGGATGAAACCCTAGATGAAAGGGTTACAGTTAAGAAAGCTGGAAGGTGCGATTCATAAGCTCACTCACCTACACAGGACAGCAGTACCCTTTATGGGTGCCTGCAGCTCAGGGACCAAAGGGTGTGACAAGAACAGTTCACTTCAGCTCAGGCCTCTGCACCCCGGGACCTGCCTGCCTGTCCCCTGCTTCTGCTCTTGTCCTTTCTCCACGTCTGGTGTGTCTCTGTCATTCCTTTTCCCTGTCTGTCCCTTCTTCTTCGTTTTTTCTCTTTTCTGCTATTCTTTTTCTCCTTAGCTGTCTATGTAACATGAAAGCAAGTTTTAGGCTTACTGTATGCTGGACATAGTTTACTATCCTGTTTTTCTAAATGAAAAAACAGGTAAGTTGAACTTTTATGTTTCTCTAAGAGGAAAAGAGTTTCTTTTAACTTGTGTCACTGTACCTGTCTCTCTCATGGTGATGCTCCATAGGAGAAAGTCCATGCTGTGTACAGCTAATCACATATTAGTGTATTTTTCTTGCTCGATTAAAAAATCAGATGGAAATAAGAACAGTTAGTACTAACAAGGTGATAAGTATTCCCTAGGGACTAATTCTCTAACTTGCAAAGAAAAGGTTTCAATTTAATTAAACATTTGGTTGGCAGTGGAAAAACTGGAAAAAAAATTTATATTAAGCACAACTCTGAAAATTTATCTGTTAATGTATTATTAGAATTTAAAGTATATCTACTTCTAATAAATAATTTACACATATGATAGACAAATAGAAGATTAAACGTATATCTTTTTTTTTTTTTTTTTTTTTGTGGTGCGTGGGCCTCTCACTGTTGTGGCCTCTCCCATTGCGGAGCACAGGCTCCGGACGTGCAGGCTCAGCGGCCATGGCTCACGGGCCCAGCCGCTCCGCGGCATGTGGGATCTTCCCGGACCGGGGCACGAACCCGCATCCCCTGCATCGGCAGGCGGACTCCCAACCACTGCGCCACCAGGGAAGCCCTATCTTTTTTATTAATCCCTAAAATGTTGGCGCTATGAGTGGAGTTAAGGTCAGGCAATTGTGAGGATGGGGAGGGACACCTTTTTTTTTTTTTATTGTGTGTAGGGTAAACGTACACATTAGATAAAATCTGCTCCCAAATGAGAAACCCAGTCACACAGTGTGATTGGCCCGTGTGTCAGTCTCAGGGCTCAGTAGAATAAGAGAATGGGGAACAAAGGCTCAGATGAGGAAACCCCGCATGCACTTTCACAGTTCCTTGGCACTGCCAGGCAGGAACAGTGCCAGCAACAGGGATGGGTAGGTCTTGCCGTATATCAGCATTGGGTAGTTGTCAGGAGTGTGTTTCCCAAGGAAAAGCATTGCTTTGTCACATTTAGCATCTCTGGAACCATGGCTGTTAGATCATAGCTTTTCTGCTTCTGAACTTCACACACATGAAGTCCGGGGCAAGGCTGTCCCTCAGTTCCCCGTGGGGCTCCTTGGCTGTGGTGCACTCCATTTCTCCTGCCTCACGGCAGGGTGCTGTCTGCGTTGTTTCCCTGTCGAATATTAGAGAACCAGTGAACAAAACCTCATATGTGTGGGCTTCTGATTGAGTTATCACCTGTAAGGGTTTAATGATTGGTCTTTTTTAAAAGACATTTTCAAGTAGTTTAGAATTCTGTTTTCTCAGTGACTTCCGGACTCTAACAGACATACCAATTTGAAAGGAGTAGGGGAATATTTATATATGAAAATAGGGAAGCATATAAAGATCACTGTCCATGCCTTGCTTTACTACCTGTGATTTAACATCTCCTAAGTAGAGCTTCTCTAAGTGCTGATGAGGTGGTCTGGAAGACCCAGCCACGGGCATGAAATGACAGGCTGAAATTTAGGATGGCGCCGCCAGAATGAGCACCACCTAGGGGCCAGCTGGGTTTCAACAGTTAGATAGAGACAGAGGAAGAGAGCTTTAATTCTAAATTTAAACTAACAACTACTTAAATCAGGTGGTAAGAATTAATGTATTCGTCCAGTGCACTGTATTAACGCATACAACAAAAGGATGGTTTAAAATTTCAATTGCTGTAGCCATTTATGTGAATACTTTTTTTTAAAAGTTAGAACCATGGAAAGGGGAGAAATGAGCACATTGAGATGTTCAGGATCAGGTTGGAAAGGAGTTGAGAACTACAGTAATCCAGGGAGTGGCTGAAGCACTCGGGCAAGACATGGGCAAAAGGGGAGACATGAGAGGTGAATTCACATCTTAGAAAACGGTCATGGAGAAGATGGAATATATTTTTGTTTGTGTTGCAGTGCAAAGCCAGGCTGGAGCCACTGGGTGGCCAATTTCAGCTTTCTGTTCAACATAAAGGAAACATTTCTAGTATTGGCTGTCCTGGGAAGTATATGTAGCCTTTAATCACGGGTGCATTTTATGAGGAGAGAAGTCGGGATAGAAGCTCCTTATATAAAGAATTCTCTATTGTTTACTAGGCTGTGCCTGTTGTTAGGATCTCAGCCTTCTCATTGCTTTGCATAATGAGTGAAAGCAGCAAAGACATATTAAATTGGTTCAAGTCATTTGGACCAAAGTCTGAAAAATCCAGACAGCTGAATTAGTCATGTGTGGCATCTTGAACTCTGACTTGAGAAGTGTCTTTCTATCTGTGAACTCCAGCCACCCAGATATTGAGACAAATTTGACCCGGAAATAGAGGCAACCTTTACGTGTCACCAACGTTAGGGACAGTTTTCCTTCCCTCACATGAAGTCTGAAAGCTTGTCCCTGTGATGGCTTCACACTCACCAGGGGTAGGAATCTAGTTCCCATCCATTGTTGCTGTCATCTGAATCACAGTGTCTGTGAATGAAGTTAGTTTATTAAAATGATGGGCTTCTTTTTTTAGCTCAAAACATCCAGGTATTATTACTGAGGTTCTTGGAATCCTTAAATGTTAAGCAGCATATTTACTTCCACCTCAGTGGAGTGTAATTTCTAATAATAATAATAATGATGATGACGATATATTGAATAAAAATTAACCAGCGTAGGTGTTGCAGTCCTTAGCTCAATAATGACTTTTCATTGTGTGGGACAGTATATTTCAGTAGGGATTTCTGCATGTAAGAAGGGGCAGGATGGGCCCTTTTGAAATGAAGGATTATGTATCTTATGGGGTCAGGTTCATTGAGAAAAGATACAAAGCGTCCTGCGTGAAGTGTGGGAGCACATACCCCCACTTGGCTAGATCTTTGTACCAAATTAAGTCTCCTTTTGTGGTGTTAGACAGGGATTGGTCATCTCCCTCCCATCACTAGTTCTTCTGACTGGTTCTGGATCTGAAAGAAACACACACACACACACACACACACACACACACACACGCCTAAATATGCCCCTTTTAGACTTTCAAGGGTTTGCCAGAAAATACACAGAGGGACTGAAAAAAATAGCATTCATGAGGAAACTCACTCGTCCATCCATTTACCAGTTACCCACCGGCATTTTCTCTGTGGTGGGGCTGGGTACCCAGTGGGGAGCTGGGCAGATGTGGTCCTGCCCTCATGGATCTTATCATCTGGTGTTAGCTGAGTTCCAGTCGTCCTTGCCCTTGGGCTTCATTCTTCTGTTGACAAGCTGTCTGGAATCCGGCTGAGTTCTTTAGCTTGCCGTTAAAGGAACCAGGAGATCAGGGAGGAGCACAAGGCTGGGCGGAACCTGCAGCCAGAGCAGCGAACACGTGACACATCTTTAAACATCTTCAGTCAACAGGACGTTGACACCTCTTTGCCTGCTCTCATCAAGGCCCAGTGCCCCGCCAACCAAAGCAGCTTTCTGCCCAGGGGAAAATTATCTGGAGGAAAGCAATTTTAAAAATTTAAATTCTCTCCATCCCAAGAATCTTCCCTTTTAAATGGATCAGCCATTTGTTAGCACACAATTTATTTTAAAAGTCTTGTGTGGTGTGCTGAAATGTAAAATACAAAAGCACATGTTTGCCCAGTACCCTGTGTTTAGAGGATTCAGAGTGATCTCCATCACTGACAATTAGCCACATGGGGGAAGGGGAAAGGAGCTGTGGCACCGAGCCCACCACGCTAACCTGCTCAATTGAACTGTTTCCAGATCATGTCCCACGAGCTCTTCTCCAGATTTAGTCTCTGGCTCTTTGGAAGATGACAAAATGGTAGCTTGCTCTGGGTTGGAAGCAGTTCCTTTTATCGTTCGTGGTTCGAAGAACACTTGTACTCTCTCTGCTGGGAAGAGGTGGCATGTGTGTGTGATGAGCTGATGAACAAGACACGAAGGACATGACATTGAAAAGGAAATGTGGCCACGTAGGGCTCTTATTTGTGGAAACACCCACATTCTGTAACTTCAACTTCTACAGCATGACACTGCAGAGTCAAGAGAACTCAAAGATCCATAGAGTATTTCTAGAAACGTGGGTTCCTAGACATCAAAGAGGGAACTGTGATGAAGAATAGTACTAAAAAATAATTTAGAAAGTGCCAGGTGGAGGCTGGTCTTGGAGGATGAAGCCTTATTCATGGAAAAGCTGCCAAGGACACCTGCGAAGGAGATGGGAAGCGGGCTCGAAGAACTCCAGCGCTCCAGGAGGAAGTGCTCCCCGCCTGATCACACCCCAGAAAATACAGAATAAGCCAGGTGTCTCTGTAGTTTGATTATATTTGTATGTAGGAGGTGGCCCTGAGGATGTCCTTTCTGAATGAAGATCAACGGCACTAATCAACTTAGCACTCTTCTTGTTTAAGAAACATTTGGTTTGCTTCTATCATCACGCATAGACAGTTCAACTCACTTCATGAAAAGGAGAAGTATATCTGATGAAAAGAAAAATGGGGACTTCCCTGGTGGCGCAGTGGTTAAGAATTCGCCTGCCAATGCAGGGGACACGGGTTTGATCCCTGATCTTGGAAGATCCCACATGCCACGGAGCAACTAAGCCCGCGCACCACAACTACTGAGCCTGTGCTCTAGATCCCACGAGCCACAACTACTGAAGCCCGCGTGCCTAGAGCCCGTGCTCCGCAACAAGAAGCCACCACGATGAGAAGCCCACGCACCACAACGAAGAGTAGCTCCCGTTCGCTGCAACCAGAGAAAGCCTGCGTGCAGTAAAATAAATAAATTAATTAATTTAAAAAATGTATTTGGCTGAAATGTACTGAAGTGAAATATACTTTATGCATGCTTTATTTTCATAGAGGGCTTCGTGAGACAGCCACAGGCCCTGGTATCTCATCAAAACTAAACGGTGTTGCTGAGAACTGTAGTAGCAGCAGTGGTAGTAATAGTCAGTGGGTGGTATTAGCCTAATAATAATGAAGTGAGTTCATTAAGGGGGGGGTGTCACTTAGACGTTGGGTAGTTTTCCGCTCCATCCTCTTTTCCGTGGCAAAGTGGGCAGGTAAATGCTTTCTTGTCAGTAGTTGTCTTTGGTCTTTAATTTAGATGCTTCTGCCCAGCTGGAGCAAGTAGGCAGTGATGGGAAAGGACGCAGATGAATGACTTCCCACATGTGTATGAACCGTTGATGCAGTTTACCTCCACTGTGTTCTGTCTGAATGCAGATCCCCAGATACTCTTGCTGGGTTTCCAGACTTCCCCTAGGGAGCTTTGAGTCAGATCTGAGAATCACTAATCTAGATGTCACTCTAGTGTAGGGACCTACACTGTTTCTAGGGATACCTTTACTGCCCTCATGTTTTCCAGTCTGTGGTGGAAAAGTTACTGGCATTTGTTCTAGTGGAGTAGACTCACTACCCAGCTTCAAAAATTGAAGTAATATCAGACAAGGGGATGTAATGACTTCTAGAGGAGGCGGGGCACCCACTTGGGCCTCTCTCCCAGGATTGTGTGCTCTCGCCCCTGCCCTTGGAGTTCCTTCTCTCTTTTGGGGCACAGATAGTACCCTGAGGCTAGGTAGACCTTATGTTCTGGGGCAGAGGGTGAGTGAGGTGCCAAGGCTGTCTGCAGGACCGTGAGAGTGCCTCCCCCCCGCCCCCCAAATGCTGTGCCCTAGACGACCCCTGCACCTCCCTCTAGGCCTGATGCTGGGTCCTGGGCTAATCAGGGATCTCCTTAGATCCGGGTCCCCTGCCTGAGAGGACCTCCCTCCACCTGCTCCTCCCTGCCTTTGCCTGTGTCCCTAAATTCACCCCTTCCTGCCAGGACTGTGATATGGTATGAACTTGACTTCCTGCATCAAACATGAGTTAGGTGCTCAAACTCTGCCCCACACTCACCCCGCACTACCACCCCATCCCCCGACCCCTAACTGGATCCTAAGCCTTGGGCTCTTAGTAAGGCTGTGATTCTGTCTCAGGGCCACTCACACCCCCACCCAAAGGAGATGCTACTCAAAAGTTGAGGCCAAATTTATTTATAGTAATCCAAAGTGTTACAGTTTCCAATTCTGGTGTTTAACACTGTATTAGCCACTTTTTTATTTTAAAATCTCAGCTGCTTTATCTAAAGCATGAAGTTTTTAGAAGGTAACCAGAAAGCTCACATGGTGTAAACCTTTTTTGTATGCATTATAGAAGTATTGCAGGTTCATTGTGTGACATGTATTGATTAATGTATTCACGATTCAAATTGTCCTTTCAAGGGAGAAGGTCTTTTCTTTGCAAATGTCATCGAACCCACTTTCTGTCTGTTGAAGTTGTTTCTAATTGGCTCTGAAATGTTTCTCAGACCTGGGTGCTCATGTTCTGCCCATAGTAGCCTGTGTGCTTGTGCTCCTCATCCAAGTAACTCCTAGCTAGTGGATGTTTCTCATGTTGCAAGGTGTGCCTCATGTGTTGTAGGTGTGCATCTACACCTCCCATCCCACGTTAACCCTCTGTGGGAGGTATTATTAGCACCATTTTTTACCACTGGAAACTAAGACTTAAGAGTCTTAAAAAATAAGTAGCTAGTTGTCTCTCCACAAGTGATGATGGTGCTAGGTCCACACCCAGATTTTTGACTCCAAAGCCAGCGTTGTTCTTTGCTTATTTTTTTATAATTGGAAAAAAATTTAAAATATAGAAACTTAAAGAGAATGATAAAAAATAAAACCCATGTATTCTCTTCTGGAATTGACAGATGTTAGCATTTTGGTGTATTTCATATTTTTTCTAAATAAAACATTAGAAGTTCTCATTTTACTCCTCCCAGTTCGGATCTTTTCCCTTCTTACCCTCCACCCCATCCTGCCCTAACACCTCCTCCGGAGGCAATTTGGCCTCTATCCAGACCATGTTTCTATGCTTTTACTACACATACATGTATTTATTGTTGGTATATAGCTTGGTTTCTGTGTTTAAAAAAGTATGTAAAATTTTATTTATAATATATAAATAAATTTTATTGTATTTATTTTGCAACCTACTCTTTTCCCCAGTTTTGTTTTTGGAGTTGTTACATATAGATCAGAATTATTCATTTTGATGGCCGTCTAATATTCCATTAGATGATATTGTAATGTACCCTACTGATAGACATTTAGCTTGCTTCCAATTTTTTATTCTTTTGCAAACAATGCCACACATGTGTCTGTGCTTATCTAGGGAATGTACTCAGAGGAGGAATCGCCAGGGCCTGGGGTTGGCACAGTTTCTCCTCTGCTCGGTATTTCCCAATTGCTCTCCAAAGTGTACGTAGACTTCCACCCGTCATGTATGAGGGCAGATTTCTCCACATTCTCATCACCTCTTGGTGCTGTTGGACTATAATTTTAGCCAGTTGTGAAATAGTATCTCTTTGTCTTAGTTTTAACTTGCGTCAGCCTGGTGACTGCTCATTACAACTGTAGAGATTGAGCATAAACTTCTCACCAGTCAGGCTCCCATTCTTATGAACTGGTTGGTCATATCTTTTGTTCGTTTTTCTGTTTGTTTTTCTTTTTTTCCCTGCTGATTTTTAGGAACTCTGTATACTGCCAATATTAGTCGTTTGTCAAAAAATGTTTGAATGCCATTATCTTCCCCTTGTCAGTCATTTTCGTTTGTTTACGGTGTTTTGTATAATATACACATTTTAAAATTTGGTAGAAAGTTATCAATCTTTCTGTGCTGTGTTGTGTGTCTTGTTTGTCTGTCATAAGCTTTAGAGTTTTGTTTTGCATCTTTAGGTCTGTAATTACACCCCTCCCCCACATTCTTACCCATTGTTCTCTTCCTTACTCTGTTTTTCTCCATAGCACTTATCATCTTGTAATATATCCTACACTTATCTGTTTTGTTTGTTTATGTGTTATCTGTTTCCCTCCACTAGAATGTAAGCTCCCTGAGGGCAGTGGCTTTTGTCTGTTTTGTTCATGGCTATATCCCTAACACCTGGAATAGTCACGGGCATATAGCAGGTGCTCAATAAATATTTGTTGAACAAATAAAGAATAATCCACATGGAATGTATTTCTTGTGTATATAGTGTGAATAGAGCTGTCACCCTTTGTTCCCCTCATGGAAAGCTGGTTTCTCTAACACCATTTATTGGATAGTCCATCCTTCCCCCACTGATTCTTTTCATTCAAGCTTTATCAAGCTGGAGTTGTTTCCCTCGTGCCACTGTCTTTATATATTTCTGTTCCCCTGCCTCTGTGCTGAAGTCTGCAGAAAAGCCAGTCCTCACACACACAAGTGGGAGTGGGGGAGATGAAGGGCTAGGTTCCACTTACGGAGAGTTTTTCTCTGATGGGTCAATCGGTAAACATTTAAGAAGCAACTTTTATGAACCAAATGTAAAAATGGACCTGAGTCCTCAAAGCCCTCAAAGGACTTTCTCGTTGACGTTAAAACTCGTTATAACTCAAGGCAGAATATAAGGGTTAAGCAGGACAATTAGCTGTGTGCTGGGAACACACAAGCTGGAGAACATAGTGGTTAAGTTTGTAGGCTTCAAGTAAATTCAATCTTTGTATGCTGCATCTGCTCCTGACTGGGCTTTGTATCTTGAGCAACTTATTGATCTTCTCCAACATTTAGTTTCCTTATCAAAAAAATGGGAATGATGATAATAGTACCTGCTTCAGGGGTTGTTGATTGACTGAAAGAATGTACGCTAAGGGTGTAGCTCAGTGCCTGTAAATGTTCACTAATTCTAGTGTGCGCGGAGTCTTTAGGGAGGAGGTGAAATTTGACTGGGTCTTGCAGCACCGGTTAGATTTTTCTGGGCAGGGATTGAGTAGGTGGAAAAGGACGTGCCAGACAAGATACAGAATAAATAAAAAACAAAAGCGTGGAAGCCAGAAAGTATAGGGTGAGTTCAGGGAACATTATTCTAGTTTGACTGGATTGTAGGAGGAAGTAATGATGAAGAGACTGGAAATGTAGGTTGGGCCTAATTGCTGTGGATTACCAGCAACAAGCCAAGAAAATGTCCTTTATTACTAAGCTCCTAATTCCTCGATGGCTCCCCATTGCCTGATCAGACCTGAGCCTCAGAGGGGTGTCTCTGGCAGGGCGCGCTTGGCAAACAGGAGAGGAGAGGGGCAGGGAGGGCAGCTAGGGGGCTCCCAGGAGAGTCCTGGTCAGTACAGTTGAGGGTGCATGTCCCAGGGCACCTGAACTTTAGGAACATATTGTGTGTGTGTGTGTGTAATTAAAGCCTCCTTTATTTTTTTGTTTTGTTTTGTCTTAAAATTGACAAGACTAGTATAAGCATCTTTAAAAAAAATTTTTTTTATTGGCCTATAGTTGACTTACAAAGTTGTGTGTACACAAAGGTGTACAGCAAAATGAATCAGTTATACGTGTACAGATATCCATTCTTTTTTAGATTCTTTTCCCATATAGGTCATTACAGAGTACTGAGTAGAGTTCCATGTGCTATACAGTAGGTCCTTATTAGTTATCTGCTTTATATACAGTAGTGTGTATATGTCAATAGGAACATTTATTTAAACTACCATTTTTTTTTGCGGTATGTGGGCCTCTCACTGCTGTAGCCTCTCCCGTTGCGGAGCACAGGCTCGGGATGCACAGGCTCATCGGCCATGGCTCACGGGCCCAGCCGCTCCGCGGCATGTGGGATCCTCCCGGACCGGGGCATGAACCCGTGTCCCCTGCATCGGCAGGCGGACTCTCAACCACTGTGCCACCAGGGAAGCCCCCATTTTTTTTTAGCATCAGCTTTGTGCCAGGTGTGGAGCTGGGTGCTTCCATATACATGCCTACCTCAGAAATACTGTGGGTTGGGTTCCACACCACCGCAATAAAGCAAATATTGCAGTAAAGTGAATCACATGAACTTCTTTGTTTCCCAGTGCATATAAAAGTTATACTGTAGTCTATTAAGTGTGCAATAGCATTATGTATAAAAACACAAAGTGACACCTAATTAAAAATTCTTTGTTCGGGACTTCCCTGGTGGCGCAGTGGTTAAGAATCCGCTGGCCAATGCAGGGTACACGGGTTCGAGTCCTGGTCTGGGAAGATCCCACATGCCGCGGAGCAACTAAGCCCATGCGCAACTACTGAGCCTGCGCTTTAGAGCCCACAAGCCACAACTACTGAAGCCTGCGCGCCTAGAGCCCGTGCTCCGCAACAAGAGAAGCCACCGCAATGAGAAGCCCGCACGCACCAACAAAGACCCAATGCAGCCAAAAATAAATTAATTAATTAAAAAAAAAAAAAAAAAAAAGGGCTTCCCTGGTGGCGCAGTGGTTGAGAGTCTGCCTGCCGATGCAGGGGACACGGGTTCGTGCCCCGCTCCGGGAAGATCCCACATGCCGCGGAGCGGCTAGGCCCGTGAGCCATGGCCGCTGAGCCTGCGCTCCGCAACGGGAGAGGCCACAACAGTGAGAGGCCCGCGTACCGCAAAAAAAAAAAAACAAAAAAAAAAACACTTCGTTGCTGAAAAATGATCACTGATCATCATCTGAACCTTCAGTGAGTTGTAACCTTTTTGCTGGTGGAGGATTTAAAATATTGCAAGAATTACCAGAGTGTGACACAGAGACACAAAGCGAGCAAATGCTGTTGGAAAAGTGGTGCCGACAGACTTGCTCAGTGCAGGGTTGCTACAGACCTTCAATTTGTGAAAAATGCGACGTGTAAAGCACCATAAAATGAAGTGCAGTAAGATGAGTGATGCCTGTACCTCCTCTAGTTGTTTAGCCTGAAACAGTTCTCTCCCTGGATATTCCTGTTCAGTGTATGGTCGTCTGTCCCTGATACTGTACCCATCCAGGGAAGCACAGGGATAGAGAAGCTCAGAGGACCCTCTTTCCCACTTCTCCATCCCACCTTCCAATAAGGTCACAGAGGAGGAAAGAATAGCCTGAAGACTTAGGGCTCCAGCAAATCGTTTGTTAAAGAAGGTATCACCTGCCAGTATTCTTCCCAGCCTGGCCTAATTTCTAGGCAGCATTGCCGCGATAGGTTGTCGTCATAGGGAAGATAGACCTCTGGACATCAGGCTGGTGTGAACGGAAGAGCCCGGGCCTTGTCATCAAAGAGAAGTGGGTTTAGATCTCAGCCCTGCCAGAATCGAGCTCTAGGGTGACCACCTGTCCTGGTTTGCCTGCGAATGAGAAGGTTCCTGACTCATGAGACTAGAACCTAGAAAGTTCCAGGCAAGCTGGAACGAGCTGGTTACCTCTTTAGCCCTGTGGTCTGAACCTTTCCCTCACCCCATCGGCAGACGGCAGGTGCATCCTATCTCTTGGTAGGTGGGGAGACCTAACATCATTCTGCCTGCTTCCTTATTGCGCTAATGTGTGTGTTTCTTTCTCCATTTACTGCCTCACTGGGATGTTGATTCCCTGAAAGTGGAGACCAGGTCTTCCTGGCTCGCTGCCGTGCTCCTGGAATCTAGCACTGGGCCCGATGCAGAGGGGATCACAGCTGATTGTTAAGGAATGAACAGACAGTGAAACTCTAGGAACCCCAGTTCCCTCGTCTATGGGGATAACGACTCTTAGGGTTGTTTCTGAGAATAATGAGCTAAGCCAGCAAAAGCCCTGGTGTACTCGGTACACCCCTTTTTCTTCCTTCCCAGTGAATGCACACAGATTGGAACGCCAGTTTATCCATCCTTCCCTGGTGTTTACATGGCCCAGTCATGTTCAGGCACCCAGGGTGCTATTTCTTCTTAAACAGAAGTTGGGTTATCTTTAATATAAGATAGAAATCAAACCACATTAGATTATTTTACCTCAGAAGCCAGTTTCAACCGATCCTTTTGAATAGTATAGTTCTATTATTATATATTACTTCAAACTTAATAGAAAAAAATTGATTAAAATGTGTGCCCTGTTCATATCTGACCTGGCTGAATGCCACAAGACACATTAATTGAAAGTGAATTTCTACAAACCCAGTCAAGCATCATGAAGATGAAAAATGTACCTTTTCCCCTCCATTCCTTCATTGATTTTTCATTTTCCCCACTCAGAGCTTCATTTAGCAGTTTTTCAGTTTCGTTTTGTTGTGGCCTTAATTCATCCCCTTCACTCCCCCCAAAATGAGATAATGTACCATTTTCCTTGTCCTTTTTAACCTGTTCTTTCATGCTGCATTAGTGTAGGGCAGATCCTGATCTTGTCATACATCCCTGTGCTTTATTATTTTTTAGGAAAAGAGGGTAACCTTATTTTTAAAATTCTTACCATGGCGGTTTTTATCAAAGGGAATGCACTTTAAAAATACGTAACTATGAAACATAGTTAGTTGTAACATAGTTAGAACTATGAAATTAGTTCTAAATTAGTTCTAAAATGAATTAAGAGAAACTGCAGCAAAAATAAAAAACCTTTTCAGAGGAAGAGTATTAGATATCAATTATTCTCATTTTTCAGGGTGAGGTATTTGGGGATCAAACACGAGTCCTGTTTTGTTGAGGGAAATCGAGAAAGCTATTTGCCAGATCACAAGAGGCTGAATTGAAAACAAGGCTGGGTCAGGACAAGAGGGAGCAAAGGGAGGTGACTAAAACCCCAGGTGAGTTCTAGAAGGTTCTTGCCTGTCTTGTGCCAACCGTGCCCCAGTCTGTTCGCCGAGTCCCTGGATCTCTAGGGGTTTTGATAACAATAATGGGGATCTTCAAGCTATCTTCCTGTCAAATTTTCAAATAATCGAACAGCATACTTTTCCCATGAAAAGTTGAGAAGGGCTCACATTCAAGTATCCTACTGCTTTATCCTGACCTAGAATTCAGAACCCTGGTTATCTCATTTTGATTAGAAGCTTCGATTGGCAATTAGCCACCTTTGGTACATTTTCAATGGGAAAATGAATTATTTCTTTATCAATGCAGTTTAAAGTAGAAAGTGTTTTTAAATGAGGGCCCATTAGTAGGAGTTAACAAAGGGGGGTGTTGGTGACAGAGGTTTGGAAACCTTATTAATGTGTCGAGTTTCATGATAGGCACATACACACACACCCTGATTTTGAATAAAAGTACCTGTGGACTTTAATTGGTTATTCTTAAAATGAGAATGAAAACAAAATAAAACAGATTTCAAAGAAAATGAACATAAACTTAGTTTGGATTTAAAAAATTGAATTCCCTTTTCCTTACAAGATTTTAAACAATTTAAATCAATGTGATCATCAGTTGTAACATACCTTCTAATATCATGCCCTGTTCCGTCGTGTCTCCTGTTTTACATAAGGCATTTTCAGATACATGTATATCATCATTTGCCAGCTGGTAAGAGAAAACACCCCAAAGCACAATTTCTTAAAAAAAAAAAACATATCAAGTGCTATCTAGTATTTAATACTTTGCATTTCTTATATTCATTCATTTCTCTCCACATCCCCAACCTCAATATTGAGTTATGTTTCATGAGCCTTGCACAATTGGGTACTATTCACATCCTTCTAATTATAGGGCTGTATCACATTCTGACATCTAACATGAAATGACCCTACATGTCTGTCACCAATGGAAAAAAAATTCCAGGAAGCTGAAAAGCCCTGCAACCTCCTGGGTTGCTGTGAATCCATAACAGGACCTTACTAGATTTTTGTACAATTTCATTTTGGTCTGGTTGACATACAAGGTCTTTTTGAAAGGAATTGGGAGGGATCCTTTCACTATAGGAATCTGTTTCCAAAGGAGTTTATAAAAATGTGTGGATTGATAGGGGTGGTTTCACCTCCTACGAGGACTCTGCTCTTTCACATAAGGTAATTGATGCGGTAAACATCTGTTCCATGTGGGTTTGCTGTCTGGTGCAAGGAAAGATGCAAACCAAGAGCGGTAGTGGCAATGATGGGTTCTACTCGGGGTGTGCTCGAAGGGCTGAAATGGAACAGAGGAGAGAGACACAAAGCCAGCCTAGAGGACTTGGGAAGAGCTGGCCTGGGAGGTGACTGTTGAGTACTTCCTGACAGAAGACTTCCTGGTGGAAAAAGGAATGGAGGGTGGGAGGGCATGCCTGGTGAGGGCACCAGCCTGTGCAGAGGCCTGGCAGCAGGACCATTGTGTGTCCACAGCACGCTGAGAGTATGGAGTGCCTTCTAAGTAGGGTTCATTGTGGGACAGAGCAGGCACGAAATGAAACTGGGGAGATATATTGGGACCACAGCAGAGGTGCCTCATGTCCACGCTAGGGAGTTGGAACATTAGAAGCTTAGGAGGGTTGTTTTGTTTTGTTTCGTTTGTACTTTTTTCTTTTATTGAAGTATAGTGGATTTACAATGTTGTGTTAGGTTCAGGTGTACAGCAAAGTGATTTGGTTATATATAATCGATCCTTTTCCATTATAGGTTATTACAAGATATTGAGTAGAGTTCCCTGTGCTGTACAGTAGGTCCTTGTTGGTTATCTCTTTTATATATAGTAGTGTGTATATGTGAATCCCAAACTCCTAATTTATCCGCCCCCCAGAAGCTTGGGAGGGTTTTTAAGTAAGAGGGTGATATATGCAGCATCTCTGGGGTAAAGCCTAGAAGTCGATGACTCCGTCCAGGTGACTCCAGTGTGTGGGTCTGGTTAAGAGGGATCGCTTAGCTCGAACCATCTGTGCAGGTAACTCAGTTGTGGCTGATGTGAAGAAAAGCCGGTTCCAGTTTTAAGAAACCAGATAAACCCCCCCCACCGCCCACCTTAAATATCAATCTGGCCTGTAGTCTTAGAAACCTAGCATCCTGCATTATCAGTTAGGCTGTAAGACATATACATAGTTTGAATTACAAAAAAAAAATCATGCTAACGAAGACAAAATTAGACATCAGTTCAATGAGTTAACATCAGTTAAAAGGTTCTAGATTTTACCAAGATGGGTTTCTTCCCTTTGTTCTCTAAGGGGGTTTACTGTTTGATATTTAAATTTAACTGTTACAAGAAGATTACATTCTTGGGTAACTACATTTTCCAGACCTCATCTAAGTTCTCATTTCTTAATGCCTTGACTTCAGCCTGGTAACTTGGGTCATTTACCACCACCTGGTGACAGCTAGATTTAAATGCAGATTCTTGAAGTGTACATAAACCTCTTGAAGGTCAAATTTACAAACTTACATAGAGCATGGACTTGAGGATACGGGGAGGGGGAAGGGTGAGCTGTGACAAAGCGAGAGAGAGGCATGGACATATATACACTACCAAACGTAAGGTAGATAGCTAGTGGGAAGCAGCTGCATAGCACAGGGAGATCAGCTCGGTGCTTTGTGATCGCCTGGAGGGGTGGGATAGGGAGGGTGGGAGGGAGGGAGACGCAAGAGGGAAGAGATATGGGAACATATGTATATGTATAACTGATTCACTTTGTTATAAAGCAGAAACAACACACCACTGTAAAGCAATTATACTCCAACAAAGATGTTTAAAAAAAAAAAAAAAAAAAAGCGAGAGCAAAGGTGCCAAACGGATTTTACTTGCATACCGGCTGCATAGTTCCCTGGATTTTGGGTGCCCCCGATTTTGGGAGCTGCTTTGGAGGTTATGTGTTTAGCAAGTCTGTCTTGGTTCATCTAGGCCTCCAAGAGTCTGTTCCAGACAACTATGCCCCTGAAGTCTAAGGGGTGGATTGTTTAGAGATAATGGATGGACGGATTCTTTGATTCGTCCATTCAATGTCTGAGAATATGAAGATGATCAAGGCCTTTATCCTCAAGCTGACAATCTAAGGAGGGAGAAATACCAGTAATAACATAGTAGTAGCTAATTTTTGAGTGTTTATCATGCTAGGTGCTATAGGAGACGATATTTCAAGGCTCTTTGAAGTTGGCAGTCAGAAATAGCAGCATTTTCCACGCAAATGTGTGATTTAGATATTGTGGAAAAGAACCAAAGGCTTGGGAGTCAGACAATACCTAGAATATTAGCAAACCCAGACGCGTGAGAGCCTGCTTATTTTAGAAACTGGGTGCCGCACTTGGGAGAAGGCATGGGATGTGCTCCAGGAGCAGACCTCAGGGGGGAGTAACTTGGGGTTCAATGTTGGCACCCCTTCTAGGGCATGAGGGGCCAGCCATGAACTGACTGCCAACCTAAGCATCCTTTTTCTCTAATCCGAGCAAGTCAGCTCTGGCCACAGAATGTACTGTACAAGATGCTTCTATGAGAAATGCTCAAGGATGAAAGCAAATGAGTGTGCACAGCATTCATTTTTAGTGCAAAAGCACAATCGCTTCTTGAAGCATCAGTTGCTGAAAAACGCGATCCTTGTCATCAGAAGCTTCAGATCCCCTGCATCCTTCCCTCGACCTATTCTTTTTCTCCAGAATGAGATGCCTCCTCACGCTAGCATTAGCCCGGAGTTCTCCCCTCAGCTGTCTCTCCAGATGATATCTCTGCTTTGCATTTATTTCTTTTTAAAACTAAAATCTAGGGACAAAGGTGAGCAGAATCATCTTGGTCTCTTCCTGTGAGCTGTTCATTAGGGTGCCCTTAACCCACACCTCTTGCTTCTCTTGACTCACAAAGCACTCTGATTACTTCAGAGATAGTGAAAGTAGCGTGCGTGAAGTCACTTTTTGTGTTATTTGATGAAGTATTACTCCTGACCTTCTTGGAATATTTTAGTTCATTTCACTACACACTTTACCTATCATTTAAAGATTTTAAAAGCTTTAAGAATTTCTAACGCTATAAGAAGGAATGAAAAAGGGACACTGTAAGGATGATTTTTGCACATTATTCCTACATAAATGAAGGAAATTTAAACAAAACAAACTTTTGTTTTGCTCATAATCCTACCCCAACCCCGGAACGAACGATTTTGTTTATCTAACTTTTCTTCCACCTTTTACTTTCATCATTGTAAACTCTTGTTTTTCTATCCCTTGAGGCTTTTTGTAAACACTTTTCCATTTTGTAATATATTTGTTTTTAGTATTTGTGTAATATATTCCATCCAAGTGATATTCCATAATTTATCACCCATTCCTTTAGTGCTGGACATTAAGGTTATTTCCATTTTCTCTCTATTATAAATAATTGGAGCAAGAACATCTTTGTATATATAGCTTTCTTCCTACATCTGAATTATATCCTTAGGATAAATTCCCAGGAGTGGGATTAGTAGGTCAAAGGGTATGAACAGCTTTATGGCTCTTCATATTTATTGCTACATTGCCCAAAGGGTCATTCTAATTTACAGCACCACCTGCAACACATGAGAGTAGCTATCCCTCCCAGCCCTTCCAACACTGATTTCTTCAGTCAGTAGTTTGGGGCAAATTTAATAGGTACGAAAGGATAACTAGTGACTGTTTTTAACTGTTAATTTAAAAAATAATTATCAATTTTCTTCTTAAGTATGTTTATTGTATTCTATTTCATATGGTTTGCTTTTCATGTCGGAGAATTATATTTTTTGACACCAGGTGGAATTTAAAATATTTTATCATGAAAATGTCACATTCTCTCAGAACAAAGAGCGTAATGAATCATTACTTAGATTCAACAAGCAGCAACATTTGGCCACATCTGCCTTATCTACACCTTCTTTTCCTTTTATTTTTTCCTTTGTGCAATTATTTTAAAGCAAATCCCAGACATTCTGCATGTTTCCTGTATACTTCATTAAGCATCAATAGAACATGTGGACTTTTTCTTCTGTAATCATAATGCTTATTGCCACACCTAACAAAATTAATGATAATTCCTTGGTCCCATTTACTACTAGTCTGTAATAACATTTTCCAACATGTCTTTAAAATTGTCTCGTAACTGATATTTTGTTCCAGTCAGCATACAGAGAGGTCCACTGTATTTGGTTGTTAGGTTTCTGAAGTCCTTTAATCTAGAGCATATGCTCTGTTTACTCCCCCGGTACCCCCAACTCAAATTTACCCCCAGCCAGTGACTTATTGCAGGAACTAAGTCAGTCGTCCTATAAACGTTCCCGCATTCTGAATTTGACTTTTTGTTTCCTTAATAGCTCAATTAGATTCTGTTTCAACTTTGTTTTGTCCGGGGAGGCAAGAATACTTCAAGGGTGGTGCTGTGTGATTCATTTCGTATTGCTCTGGGGGCACACAATGTCTGGTGATCCCACTTTGGGTGATGCTAAGGCTGATGGTGGATCAGGTGGTGACAGCCCACAACAAAGTCGTAAAGTCCCTCGCCGGCTTTGCCCCTCACTGTCTCATCTGTCCGTGAAGCTTGCTTGAGTCAGTTATTTCCTGGGGGATCGCACAATGGTGATCTTTGAATTCTCTCATTCCTTCCCCACTTATTAACTGGAATTCTTCTGCAGAGTAGAACTTCTTTCTTCATAAACTGGGACTTTTTAGTAATCTCAACGTGCAGTTTGTACAAGTAAGGCAGGATAAATGCTTTTTTCTTTTATCCAAATTGCCAAGCTTCTAAGTAAGGAGTTGGTTCCACTGTCATTTCCGAGGAGTTGTCATTGCTGCTTTGTTTTTGGGTTTCTTTTTTAAGAATAATAAAATACTCAGGGTTTAAAAAAATATATATTCCATGTGTTTTACTCATTATTCTTTTTGATGCTCACATTGTCCCATCTTTGCCCCAAGGGAGACCCTTCATGTCCTTGTTTTCAGGTAGAATAAGGTGTCTTAGGCTCATCTAGTGTATTTTTTAAAAGAAAATAAAAGATTATGAATTCATACTGACACTTTGATTTCAAATCTAACAAAACTTTTTTTCCCTTTGATTTTGTACTTGTATTTCTTTTTCTTACACTAAAAATCTTGGTTCCAAATGTTATTATACTACAGTCTATCAAATAGTTTAAAAATACAATACCAATATTACTACTAAAATTTTCCCAGTGAGTGCAATTGTTTATCTTTAGAACACATTCCACTAAAAACATCCAGTCAAATTACCTTGTCCTAACAACACTTGAATTAATTCGTTTAACCGATTTGATATATGGTTAAGTTCTTTCTGTTCTGTTTGTTTTCAAATTTTAGGATTCACTTTTTTCCCCTTTTTGGTTTTTATTTTTTGAATCTGCAAAATGTGCTTTCAAAATTGAACTTATGTAACAAGGTATTATCACAAAAGTCTTTGTTCTGTTCTGTCTCCTCCATCTAATTTCCTCCCTCTCCCTGTTGGTAAATATTAAGATTTGTTTGACCTTTGCAGTGTTTCATTTTGCAAATATATATTCATATGTCTTCACCAATTTTACATCAAAGCCAGCATACCATCTACTCCTTACAATATATCGTATCAGGGTTTTAGAGATCTTCATTTTTTCTTGAAGGTTACATAGGCATCCATTGTTAAGATGAACCATAGTTTACTTATCAGGCACTTATTGATGGAGTTCTGTTTTTGTGTGTGTGTTTTCTAAAAAACAAAAATCCTGTGTCCAAGTCATTTCATATTTTGGCTAATGATTCTTTGGGATCTATTCCTAGAAGTGGAGTTGCTGGGTCAAAGGTTAAATGTAATTGTACACTTGTTTTTTAAAAAAATTAATTAATTTTTGGCTGCCATTAGGTCTCCGTTGCTACACGTGGGCTTTTTCTAGTTGCAGTGAGCGGGGACTACTCTTCGTTGTGGTGCGTGGGCTTCTCACTGCGGTGGCTTCTCTGGTTGCAGAGCACGGGCTCTAGGCACGCGGGCTCAGTAGTTGTGGCTCACGGGCTCTAGAGCACAGGCTCAGTAGTTGTGGCGCACGGGCTTAGTTGCTCTGTGGCATGTGGGATCTTCCCGGACCAGGGCTGGAACCCGTGTCCCCTGCGTTGGCACGCAGATTCTTAACCACTGTGCCAGCAGGGAAGTCCCTACTTGTACTTCTTTTAGTTATTGCTAGAGTCCCTTCTATACGAATTGTGTCATTTTGCACAGAGAGGGATGTTTTAAAAAAGATTTTGCGGTTGCTCAAATGTCATATGAAAGGTTGTTGGAAAATTAGTGCATTCTTCAAAATCACATGTTATTTATCAAACCTACACACTGTTCCCACTATTGCCCAAGACATGGCCTGGTAGAGAGCACCCTGGTTCCTGCTCTTAGGGAACCTACGATGTGTCTGCGGAGACATGATATGTGAATGAAAAACAAAGTTAGAGTAGTCCAAGATAGATATAGTATAAAAACAAAGGTGAAAACCCAGCTCAAGTCTCTGTCTTTCAGAAGCCTTCCCTGCTTAACCCAGGCCACGTGAGTCCTCAGTCCTCTGAATTTCATTATTACTTTCAGTGACAGTGACCTTTTTCCCAGAGCAAAACTTCTGACACGTAGTTGAACAAATGTGAATATACGAACAGGAACAACAGAGCAGAATGTATGAAATGCAGGCTGCTGCATAAATTCAAGTGAAATAATTTTTCTATGTAGAGTTATGTCTGCATTTCCCAAAGCATCGGTGGGATGTTACTAAGGGTTACACAGCAAAATCAGTGCAGAAATGTTAGGCTAAACAGACCTAATGAAACAACTCCACAACCACGTATGATGTCCCAAGCATACCTGGGCACAGAAGCCCCCCCCCCCCGCCCCCGTGAAGCACCTCATGTTCATACTGTTCCACGGAACACAAAAGAACCAATGTGTAGTTTCTATTTGAATGAAAACCAAAGGCTTCTCTTCCAGTTGATTAACTTGTACAAATTCTGCATTTTTGATAACAATTTCCAATTTGTTTCTTTCTAGATTGAATCACTAAAGAAAAAGGTGCAGCAGAAACAGCTCTTAATATTGCAGCTTTTAGAAAAGATATCGTTCTTAGAAGGAGAGGTAAGAAGCTGTGTTTCTTGACGCTGGGGTCTTCCCTGTCATTAAATTTTATGTTGCTGAGCCTATCACCGACACTTAATTAAAAATACGGCTATTTCCTGGCCTTATAAAATTGATTGAAGGTTAACTGCCAACACTGAAAATGAGGTTCTGACAGCTAGTTTTTCTTTACCATCTGACTCTCCTCATTCCCCCTTGCTGCTCACCTCTGCTTTTTGGCTCCCATTTTTCTTATTCAGGAATTTTCTTAGCAAGTCTGATAAGCTGTTGATGAATACTGATAACTCCCCACATCTGTGTTGTATGTTATAATTTGCCAAGTATTTTCACATACATTTCTCAATGATCCTCTCAACAACTTTAAGCAAGGCAAGACAAGGATTATTAGCTCCATGTTAACCAAAAAAAAGAAAAAGAAAAAAGGCACAGAGAAGGCAGGTGGCTTTTCTCAAGGTCACACAGCTTAATACCAGAGCCAGGCTGAGAGACGGACTCCTCATTCCAGGTGACTTAATTTCACCTGGAACTTTTAGGCTATTTAGTATTCCTGACTTTCTGGTCTTTTGAAAGGCATTTTGGGGATTTTGTGGAGGTTCTAGGGAAGGAAATTATGAAGTTGGAAGAACCTTAAAAGCTTAGGTGTTACTAGAAGGGGAAGCCTTCTGTTTTCTCTGAAGATTATTTATTAAGAACTTGGCATTGAGCCTCTTGCTTTTGAGCCTCCGTGAATCTCTCCTTGTCTGTGCCCCGCTTGTAGTCCCTCCCGGGTGAGAGACAGCCCAGGAGAGAATAATAAAATAAGAAGACAGGAAAGTAATGACAGTAATTAAGCTCCTCGTGTGTGTTGGGCACTTTTACTTTGCATATCTTTTGTATAACCTAGAGGTTAAGAGTGGAATCAGACTTGCCCAAGTTTGAATGCTAGATCTGCTTATTAGCTGGCTGACCCTAGGTAAGTTTCTTAGAATTAGAAATTGAGGATGATAACTGTACCTACGTGTGTGTCTGTGCGATGAGAGTGCATACAAAGTGCCTGATATGCCTAAGCACCCCATCATTTTCTCTTTATTAAGAGCGATGCCCTATGAGTTAGATTATGTTTCCTCCATTTTGTAGCTGGAGAAACTGAGGTTCAGGGATGTTAAGGAATCTGCCCAAGGTGACTGTTAGAAATGGGTGAGCCTGAGCTCTTAACCACCATGTCTGTAGGGATGGGGAGCAGTGTCATTATTTACTCTGTGTGGTGGGGGGGGCTGCCTATAAAAGTCGTAAGCAGAAGTCCCTCGTCGCCCGTGGGGACCTGGCAGCAGACTCAAAGCCCAGGAATCTCAGTGTCCTGACAGCTGAGTAAGTGGACACTTGTCTTGTCCCACTGTTTTCCCCTCTGCAGTCACTGAGTCCGCCTCCAGCTTTACGAACGGACATTTCTGTTTCTAAGATTGCCCTCTGAAATCACAGCTCCCTGTGGGAGGAATCATACTTTCCCAGTGAGAGTCAGAGAGTGAGTGTCCTGGTGAGAGTCATGGGTCCCGAGAGAGTCTGGTTCCAGGAGGGAGAAAAGAGGCGCCAACAGGAGAGGCGGCAGGTTACCCAAGACAGCGCCCACCCCTCTCCCCTTCCCCTGGCTGTGCTACTCAGGCCTCCTGGGAGATTAGGAAATGTCCAAGGGGTACTCTGCATTGAGAAGAGCCTTCCTTACACATACGTGTGCTTTGTTTAATCTTAATTTATTCAATTCCTTTCTTCTCTAAGTTTAGGTTGCCCAGACTCTGAGATGTGGATATGAGTCCACTAGTTTATTTGGGAGGCGATCTCAGGAAGCCCCAGTGGGAGAGGGCAGAAATGAGTCAGGGAAAGGTCAAAGGCCAATAATGGGTGCCTTACAGAGGTTACCACTGTGGAAAGCTGCTGCTCCCTTGCCCTGGGCATCTCTGGAAGATGATGTGCACTGGCCTCTGAGTTACCCTTACCAAAAGGTCAGAAAGCTAGGGCATTTATCCATTAACTCCCATCAGTAGCTGGTGAGGGCGGCTCCTGGGGGTGTGTGGCAATTCTGGCCTGCCCTGGGCAGAGCCAACTGGGCTCCAGGGGGCAGAGGAAGCCCCAGGGAAAGAGTCACAAGTGGCATGCCAGGAAATGGGGAGTGTCCAGAGCATATGGGTGCGTCTGGCTGTGTCTGCTATGTATATCCAATAAGCCATTCAAAAATGGTTTGAAAACCATCATTCCTTGAGCATTTAAACATTGATTATAAATTTGGTTGATTAAACTATTTAAATTCTACTACAAATTTAGAATGACTAATTCCTTTTGATCATCCACCTTAAACAGCAGATAAAACGTAGACAAAATGTCAAGATTTGATAATACATTTACACTTTAACTTATTCTAAAATATTAAGTATCTTGGGTTTAATTTATTTCTTCATTGTTTGTGTTCTTGGTTTTTAGTATCTTCCGAAGGCCAATTTCCCTTCGTTAACATCATTTTGACACTTTCCAGACAAATGCAGTGATCCTTTAGATTCAAAGGACATGGAATACCTTCTCTGAATAGCTAAGGCTAGAGGATGCCAATTCTTGGACGGACACAATTCTTGCTTTACAATATAGGACTAGGTAGCTTCAAGGTGATTCAAACTTAGGACCCCTAATCATTGGGATGCATTGACCTATCTTTAGCACTATTAAGAAGTATGCATTCCTTATTAATATTTTACCGTTCTTTGTCAGACTAGGTGGAGATTTCACCTCCTAGGAGATGAGGTTGAGTTTGGGTACTTGGTTTTCCTCTTCAGGCTGTGTGAGTAGTTTATGATGTTACAAACACACTGCTGACTGACTCCTTGCTAACTGTGTGTGACCAGTGATGCCAGTGAATGTCTGCCCCTCTTTCCACCTGCTTGCTGTATGACCACCAATGCCAAGCAGCCCTTCCAAGGGCCCTCAAGTCCTGTGACGACCTGACTTAAAGTTCCTTTTGTTATTCTTTACTACTCAACACAGAAATCTTATAAACAAACATGTAATTAACACTTTATAAAAGAAACTACATCATCTTATATATTAATGCTTCCTAGTTTTAAAAGTTGATGACAAGTTGTAACATATTGTCATCTTTGTTCACTATTAAAACTACCTTTCTCTACACTTTATATTAACTTTCCTTTTGAGTGACATCATGAACACAAGGCATTTCTCAGACTCACCTTGTTCCCACAATAATTTTTTCCTTCTCCTCCTAGTTTTTTTTTTTAATCTTTATTGGAGTATAATTGCTTCACAATGGTGTGTTAGTTTCTGCTTTATAACAAAGTGAATCAGTTATACATATACATATGTTCCCATATCTCTTTCCTCTTGCGTCTCCCTCCCTCCCACCCTCCCTATCCCACCCCTCCAGGCGGACACAAAGCACTGAGCTGATCTCCCTGTGCTATGTGGCTGCTTCCCACTAGCTATCTACCTTACCTTTGGTAGTGTATATATGTCCATGCCTCTCTGTCGCTTTGTCACAGCTTACCCTTCCCCCTCCCCATATCCTCAAGTCCATTCTCTAGTAGGTCTGTGTCTTTATTCCTGTCTTACCCCTAGGTTCTTCATGACATTTTTTCCCTTAAATTCCATATATATGTGTTAGCATACGGCATTTGTCTTTCCCTTTCTGACTTACTTCACTCTGTATGACAGACTCTAGGCCTATCCACCTCATTACAGATAGCTCAATTTCGTTTCTTATTATGGCTGAGTAATATTCCATTGTATATATGTGCCACGTCTTCTTTATCCATTCATCGGATGATGGACACTTAGGTTGTTTCCATCTCCGGGCTATTGTAAATAGAGCTGCAGTGAACATTTTGGTACATGACTCTTTCTGAATTATGGTTTTCTCAGGGTATATGCCCAGTAGTGGGATTGCTGGGTCATATGGTAGTTCTATTTGTAGTTTTTTAAGGAACCTCCATACTGTTCTCCATAGTGGCTGAACCAATTCACATTCCCACCAGCAGTGCAAGAGTGTTCCCTTTTCTCCACACCCTCTCCAGCATTTACTGTTTCTAGATTTTTTGATGATGGCCATTCTGACTGGTGTGAGATGGTATCTCACTGTAGTTTGGATTTGCATTTCTCTAATGATTAGTGATGTTGAGCATTCTTTCATGGGTTTGTTGGCAGTCTGCATATCTTCTTTGGAGAAAAGTCTATTTAGGTCTTCTGCCCATTTTTGGACTGGGATTATCACAGCTCAGCTGCGGAGAGTTCTGCATTACCCTCCTCGCCTGTGTAGCAGGGTTCCCGATGCTTGTGGAGTCATTCTTGCTGTATGGCAACAACAGGCGTTTCAGTTTCCTCATTTTTGTCCTGTCCCTAGATATGATATTGGCTTGTCTCCGAGGAGCCCTGGGTTGTTTTACTGGAGAGGTGTACGGCAGGCTATCTGGGCATGAGTGTTGGTAGTAGGCTAAAGTGCTGTGCCTACTGTTAGGCCCATTTTATTTGTTTTGTTTTGTTAATTTATTTTTTATTGAAGTATAGCTGAATTACAATTTTGTGTTAATTACTGCTGTACAGCAAAGTGACTCAGTTATACATATATATACATTCTTTTTCATATTCTTTTCCATTATGGTTTATCACAGAATATTGAATATAGTTTCCTGTGCTATACAGTACAACCTTGTTGTTTAAGGCCCATTTTAGTACTGACGGAACTGGGGAAAATGTTTCTTTTTACGATTATGAGGTTGCACTGACATTTTCCAAATTTATCTAATTGTTTTGTTTTACAATACAGGGTTCTGTTGGCCACGAAGAATTTCTATTATGTTGACCTATTCTAACACCAGGACTTTTTATACCTTGACATTCCATCCCCTGCCTTAAACCATAATGATGCCAGTGGTGGTGGTTCAGGTGTCTCTGAAAAGTTTTGGTGGACAGAGCTGGTAACCTCCTATATCTCATCTTATTAATAAAGTAGCTACCCTCTGTTAAGG